TGGGATTCTCTGCGCTTCCTGGAGTTGTAAGTCTATTTCTTTCACCAGGTAGGGGAAGTTTTCTGTCATTATTTCTTCAAATAGGTTTTCAATATCTTGCTCTCTCTCTTCTTCTGGCACCCCCATAATTTGGGTGTTGGTACGCTTGAAGTTGTCCCAGAGGCTCCTTACACTATCTTCATATTTTTGGATTCTTTTTTCTTTTTGTTTTTCTGTTTGTGTGTTTTTTACTTCTTCGTATTTCAAATCTTTGACTTGATTCTTGGGATCCTCTAGTCTGCTGTTGGACCTCTGTATAATATTCTTTATTTCAGTCAGTGTATGCTTAATTTCTAGTTGGTCCTTTTTCATATCCTCGAGGGTATCACTAGATTTAACGAGGGTCTCACTAAATTTATTGGCGGTTTCTAGAAAATTCTTGAAAAACCTGATAACCGTGGTTTTGAACTCTATATCCAGTAGTTTGCCTTCCTCCATTTCTGTCATTTGTGACCTGCTTCTTTGTCTCCGCATTTTGGCTGCTTCCATGTGTTGATAGAGTGGCTTTCTGTGCTAGGTGTCCTATAGGGCCAGTGTCTCAGCCTCCCCAATTACCTGAGGTGGACACTCTTGGTGCACCCCTTTGTGGGCGTTGCGCCCAGTCTTGTTGTAGTTAAGCCTTGATAGTTGTAGTTATCACTGGGAGGAATTGACCTCCAGGCCAATTGGCTGTGAGAATCAGCTGCAGTGGGAGAACTTCTGTGCTGGAGCCACCCTTATGGGGCAAGACTTGCTTCAGTGGGGCTTTGGTGCTCCCTGAGTCTGCCCCCTGAGTGTGTCCCTTATGGATCTGAGGAGTTGTAATCTGGATGGTCCCACTCTGACCACTGGGTACACTGGCTCTTGGATCGCTAAGGAGATGCTAATTTAGCCTCTGCCTGAGGCTACCCAGCAGGAGCTATGGAGAGATCTGCAGATTACTCTTCTTTGTTTGGGGTTTGGAGGTGCCCAGATGAGGCCCAGCTGTGAAGCATTGCAAGCTGATGTGGGGCCTTGGGCCTTCTCTTGGAAGTTCTGGGTCTCTCTGACCCAGCTGCAGTTTGTTAGGTAATTTTAGATTGCAAAGGGCCAGGCCATTCATATGCAAAAGCCTCTGCGCACAGCTTGGGTGGGGCGGGGTCTCAAGGAATCAACAGGGCAGAGCAAACAGCTATGGCTGATCCTCAGTCCCACCCTAAGAGGCCCTGCGTCTCAGTGTCCTGGTAATCGCTGCCAGCACCTCTGAGAGAAAGCCGCCCTCGAGGTCCACCCGATGCCAGACAGTCCAGTTTCTCCCTGTATGAGTCTGGGTCCCCAGAGACTCGCCCAGAACTGCAGTTCAGTTCAGTCGGGAGCTTGTGACTCCCTCCCAATTGAAAAAGACAACTGTGTCCTCAGTTTCCAGCCCTTTCCGCGTGCGCCTCTGTACCTCTGCACTTTACTTCCGCACCTCCTCTGAGTCTCAGTGTGCTTTTCTCTTTCCTTCTGGTTGTAGAATTTCCACTCAGCCAGCCTTCCTGTGGTTCTGGGTGATGTCCGTTTTGTCTTTTAGTTGTATTTTTGAAGTGGTTGTGCGAGGCAGCAATTTCAGGTGTTTACCTATGTCACCATCTTGGTTTCTCCCCTAAGATTTTGATATGACTACTTTTATGCTTTAAGATAAAAACAGCTTAAAGCATCCATCCAACTCTTCCTTATTATAGGACTCCAGTGTGGGTATTTTACCATTTATTCATCTTCACTCTACTTGTATAATCTTGTTTTAGATGTATCTTTTAAAGTAAGCATATAATTGAATTCCCTTTTCAATCTGAAAGAGAAATGTGACTTATTTGTGATTACTGACATGTTTACATTCATTCTCATCATTCAAATTTTTGTGTTTATTATATTTTTATTATTTCTTTATTTTTGAACTGATTTTTTCCTACGTATTTGAAGATCATTTGTTCATTTTTCTTCTTCTGGATGGTTTAATGCATTTAAGCCATCACTTCTTCATTGTTTAAAATTAATGAGAATCTATATCTTCCTTTCCCTAAAAAGATAGAACTGCTGCTTGCTTTCACTTCACTCTATTTCTCTTCCCTCTTCTACTTCCTGTGTTGAAATCATGTAAGTATTTTAGTTCCAGATTACTTATTTTTCTAAAAGTTAGCATGTATTGCTTCTTATTTTATTTTATTGATTTCAGAGAGGAAAGGAGAGGGAGAGAGAAACATCAACGATGAGAGAGAATCATTGATCAGCTGCCTCCTGAATGCCTCCTACTGGGGTTGGAGCCTGCAACCTGGGCATGTGCCCTGACCAGGAATCGAACTGTGATCAGTGTTCACCCATTGAGCCAAGCTGGCTGGGCTTTATTACTTCTTTTGCTTATCATTGCACTTTATAGATCGTAGATGCTTTTAAGATTATATTGGAGTGTATTTTCCTAATTATTTCAGAAAAGGTCTTAGGGTAGCAAATGTTGAGCTCCTTTATGTGTGAAAGTGTGTTTTGCACTGCCACTTGAAAGCTGATTTGTCTGGATATGAGTTCCAAAAATCTTTTTCCTTATCATTTTGAAGCTATTGCTCCGTTGTTTTCTAGCATCTGTGTTGCTGATGAAATCTGATTTCATCCTTATGTGATTTATGTATCTTTGTAGGAATTCACTTTCTTTCCTTTGGAAAATTTTAGGATTTTCTGAAATTTCAGTACGTGTCTAAGTCTTTCCTTTCTCCACTAATTGATTCTGTTTAACACTTAGTGGATCTTTCAACCTCATGATTAGTGTCCTTCCTCCCCTATCTTCCCCTGAAAATTTCTAGAACTCATATAAAATAGGTGTTGGACTCTGGTTCTATATTCTGTATATCTGTCTTACCTTCATACGTAAGAGGCATTTTGGAAGAATTTCTGTTTTCCTATGCCTATTTTGTTGCTGAATGTACTTGTTCAGCTTTATTTTGGAAATCAATTTTTCTCCTTTTTTGTAAACATGTCTTTATTGAGGTATTATAATCTACTTAAAGTAAACTACATTCATTACAAGTGTACAGTTCCATGCATTTTGACAGATATATACACCCATGAAGCTGCCTCCTGCACACCCCATGCTGGGGATCGAGCCTGCAACCTGGGCATGTGCTCTGATCGGGAATGGAACTGTGACCTGGTTCATAGGTCAGTGCTTAACCACTGAACACGCTGGCCAAGCAATTTGTCATTTTTTTAAATGGTGTCTTATTCAGTTTTCATGGATGAGATCTCATTTACCACGGTGATATTTATGATTCTTTTTTTTTTTTAAATATATTTTATTGATTGTTTTACAGAAAGGGAGGGAGAGAGATAGAGAGTTAGAAACATCGATGAGAGAGAAACATCGATCAGCTGCCTCCTGCACATCTCCCACTGGGGATATGCCCGCAACCCAGGTACATGCCCTTGACTGGAACCGAACCTGGGACTCTTCAGTCCGCAGGCCGATGCTCTATCCACTGAGCCAAACCAGTTTCGGCGATATTTATGATTCTTAAGTCTCCTGTTTATTCTTGCAACTCTTTCTTCAGCTGTTTAGCTTCTTGTTATTTGTGGTGTTGATTTCCCTTTTGGTGATTCTAGTTTGTAAAGTGTTTTCTCTGGGGTGAGGATTGCTGTTTTCCTGTCAGAGGATGCAGTGTCTGTTTACCACTCTGTCAGATTGGACTGTAGGGGAGAGATGGGTCATATGGCCAGAACTGGACACCTATTTTTTCTGGGTAATAGCAGCTACTTGGATGCTGTCCTAAATCTTGGGTTCAAGTGCCTGTGCTCATCGCCTCTGTTGGCTAGAAGAAGGGGGAGAAGGGGAGTGGTTCTCAGTAGACGGAAGTAGAGAGCCTGTCCACATTTCCCCACCAGGTCACGCATGACTGCACCAGAGCTCCTGTTTTCCCATGACAGTCACCCCATCTATAGCTTGGGGTAACTGTCATGGGGTAACACCACATGTTCTCCCACCTTCATAGCTGCTGCCAATTATTGTAGCATTCCTCTGTTTTTAAAAATATATATATTTCAGTTGATTTTAGAGAGAAAGGAAGGGGGAGGGAGAGAGAGATAGAAATATCAATATCAACATCGATTGGCTGCCTCCTGCATGTCTCCTGCTGGGGATTGAGTTTGCAGCCTGGGCATGAGCCCTGTCAGGGAATCGAACCTGGATCTTCTGGTACATGGGTTGACGCTCATCCACTGAGCCACACAGCCTTCCTCTTTTGAGGTTTCTGGACAGTTATTGCCGTTATCAACCTTGTTCTAATGATAGTATCTCTTCTTGTTTCCAGAGTTACTTTAGAAAAATATATCAATAAGTCTATATCTTCAGTTACTTCTGGGGTTTAAGGTGGGAGGGGAAGTCATGTATATCTGCAGTCCATCTTGATCCAATCAATCTCTTGAGGCCATTATTTTTGGACAGTTTTTTTGGTAACAGATACTAATTTTGAAACATCTGTTTCACTGAAGTCCATTGAAACCTCTTAAGGACATTAGGTTTTGAGAGAAATTGAACAATGGAGCTTATTAGTTTGAGTACTAACAGAGCTCCGAAAACTTCCAACTTTTCTTCTCTGAGCCAAGGGCAAGGGTGAAGATTTTTATTCTCAATCTTTTAAAAAAATATGTTTTTTATTGATTTCAGAGAAGGGAGAGGGAGAGAGAAATAGAAACATCAATGATGAGAGAGAATCATTGATCAACTGCCTCCTGCACACCCCCACCAGGGAATGAGTCTGCAACCCGGGCATGTGCCCCGACCAGGAATTGAACCGTGACCTCCTGGTTCATAGGTCAACGCTCAACCACTGAGCCACACCAGCCGGGCTCCCCCAAAGCTTTTTTGTTTATATATTCCTGGGAAACCTCAGGATATGAAATAAGTTTTGAATCTAGTAAGTGTAAATTTAGTTTTCATGAAAAAGCTGTTCTGACTTTTTTTTTTCTTTCCCACTTAGTTTTTCCATGGTTTGGCTTGGATATTGGTGGAACCCTAGTCAAGCTGGTTTATTTTGAACCCAAAGATATCACTGCCGAAGAAGAAGAGGAAGAAGTGGAAAGTCTTAAAAGCATTCGGAAGTACCTGACCTCCAATGTGGCTTATGGGTCCACGGGTATTCGGGATGTGCACCTGGAGCTGAAGGACCTGACTCTGTGTGGACGCAAAGGCAATCTGCACTTTATACGCTTTCCCACTCATGACATGCCTGCTTTTATTCAAATGGGCAGAGATAAAAACTTCTCAAGTCTCCACACTGTCTTTTGTGCCACTGGAGGTGGAGCGTACAAATTTGAGCAGGATTTTCTCACAGTATGCATTTTTTTAGCTTATATACAATTTATGGGAATCTGATTGTTTAAAATAATACCAGTAGCAAGGGGTGGAATCATTTCCATCCCTAATGGAATGTGAATATTCTTTTCAAATTAAGATTAAATACAAATTAGCGATAGGAGTTAGCCATCTAGAGATTTTGTTGTATAATTTACTTTTTGCACAATTCAGATGAAATGATGAGAACCAGACTACTAAAAACATAGTATTTTTTAATTCTTTTAGTATGAAAAAAATAGTGACACTGTGATAAGCAGAGTAGGCGATTAAATAGAAACAACATCATAAAATATTTTCTCTTTTTTTTAAAGATCTTTTTGATTTTTGGAGAGAGAGAAACATCGGCTGCCTCCTGCATACCCCCTTCTGGGAATCGAGCCCGCAACCCAGGCATGTGCCCTAACCAGGCATTGAACTGGCAACCTTTCAGTGCGTGGAATGACACCAACTAACTGAGCCACACCAGCCAAGACAAGGCCATTAAATCTTGAACATTGAGCCTCGCTGGTGTGGCCCAGTGGTTGAGCATCAGCCTATGAACCTGGAGATTGTAGTCTGGATCCCCAGTAGGGGGTGTGCAGGAGGCAGCTGTTTTTCTTCCTCCCTCCCTCCCTCCCTCCCTCCCTCCCTCCCTCCCTCCCTCCCTCCCTTTCTCTCTCTCTTTTATTTCTTTTCTTTTTTCTCTCCCTCTCCCTCTCTCCGCCTCCCTCCCTCCCTTCCTCTCTCTCTCTTTTTCTTTTATTTCTTTTCTCTCTCTTTCCCTCTCCCTCTCCCTCTCTCCGCCTCCCTTCCTCCCTCCCTCCCTCCCTCCCTCCCTCCCTCCCTCTCTCTCCTTCTCTCTCTCCCCCTCTGAAATAAAAAATATTTTTTTACAAAGAAAATCTTGGACACTGAGATGGGAAGAATAATTTAAAAAAAGTAATGTCATTTCATGTCATAAAATTGTTTCCAATCTTTTTCCCCTCTAGTTTTTCTTGTCCTCTTAATTGTTTCTTGGCAAGTTTACTTAAAAAAAACCCCAAACACCCAGGAATTTACAAATAAGAACAGAAAAAGAAAAAAGCCAAGGAACTCTGTTTCAAAGTGGTGGTTTTCAGGTCTCAAAACTCATTGGAGATGGTTCACAGCATAGCCTTCTCTCTCCTCAAATGCCTTCTGTTGGGTTCTGTGCAGCACCCTTGTTAACAGGAACCTCTGGACACTAGGGGCGTGGAATTGGGCACTTGATTTTGTTTTCATTCAGTGAACATTGTGTGCAAAACTTTGGGGCTAGGTCCTTTGAAAGTGGGTGTGGTTGTAGGTAAGAGAATTGATAAGTGAACTGACTAAGACTCTGATCTTTAGCTTTAACATATCTTCAGTGACCATGTTTTTAATGCCACTGATGAGAATATTATTCTGGAGATTCTGCCTTTACTTATGTCAGTGTACATTTCTTTTTCCCTCTGTGTGTCACTGTATGATTTATGACCTTGTTTTCTTTCTTTGTCCTCTATCTCCTGACTTTCTCCCATAACTGATCATAATCATATAGAATTGAATTTAAAAAATGAATTTTTAAACAAGGTTTTATATTCTTTGTTTGAATTTCCCTTGGTTGTTGGTTTTCAGTGGTTTTCGTTTTCACCTGTGAGTAGGGGAAAGTAGCAGGAGGAGAGAAGGTTCCCCTTCTTTGTGGAAGGATCATAACTGATGGGTAAAGGAGAAAACTTCTCTATTTCCGGACCCTGCAGAGATGCCCTTTGGAACATATTTAAATAGCATTCAGGCTGTTAACCAGAGGTTCAGTGTTGTATGGTAACTCCAAGGAGAGCGTGCACAGTAGACTTTATTGTTGTTTGTTTGTTAATCCTCACCTGAGTATATTTTTTCCATTATTCTTTAGAGAGAGTGGAAGGGAGGGAGGGAGGGAGGGAGAGGGAGAGGGAGAAAAAGAAACCTTGATGTGAAAGAGACACATCGATTGGTTGCCTCAAACATGTGTCCCAACCAATGCTGGGGATAGAACCTGCAACCCAAGGTATGTGCCCTTGATGGGGAATTGAACCTCTGACCCTTCAGTGCATGGGCTGATGCTCTAAAACCACTGAGCAATACTGGCCAGGGCAAAGTAGATATTAGATCTTAGGAATTCTTAGGCTGTTGGGGTTTCTCATTTGTATGTACCAGCACTGTCCTTGAAAAGTATGAAAATGAAATGCTTATACAATTCTTTTGTTAGGACTGACTAATTATTAGGATTGACTAATACTAGTATTTCATAAGCCACAGTAAAATAGTTTAAAAAAATTTTAGATAGTTTTTTAATTTTTCAATTACAGTTGACATACATTATATTAGTTTCAGGTGTACACCTGAAATGATTAGACATTGCATAACTTACTAAGTGACCATCCTGATAAATCTCATGCCCATCTGACACTGCACACAGTTATTAGAATATTAATGACTGTGTTCCCTATGCTGTATGTCACAGCCCACAGCTGCTAGTATTCTAGAACTACCAATCTGTACTTCTTAATCCTTTCACTCTTTTCACCCAGCCCCCACCCATCCGGCACCCATCCAGATGTTCTCTGTATCTAAGTGTGAGTCTGTTTCTGTTCTGCTTGTTCATTTGTTTTGTCTTTCAGATTCAGTTGTTGATTGTTATGTATTTATTGCCATTCTGTTGTTCATATTTTTAATCTTTTTCTTTTTCTTCTTATTCTTAAAGAATACCCTTTAACATTTCATGTAATACTGGTTTGGTGGTGATGAACTCCTTTGGCCTTTTTTTGTCAGGGAAGCTCTTTGTCCTTCAATTCTAAATGATAGCTTTGCTGAGTAGAGTAATCTTGGTTGTAGGTCCTTGCTTTTTATCACTTTGAATATTTCTTGCTAATCCCTCTGGCCTGCGAAGTTTTTGTTGAGAAATCAGCTGCCAGTATTACGGGAGCTCCTTTGTAGACAGTGTAGGCAACTAATTGCTTTTCTCTTGCTGCTTTTTTTTGAAAATATATTTTTATTGATTTCAGAGAAGAAGGGATGGGGAGAGGAAGAGAAACATCAGTGATGAGACAGAATCATTGATTGGCTGCCTCCTGTGTGACCCACACTGGGGATCGAGCCTGCAACCCAGGCATGTGCCCTGACCTGGTTCATAGTCTGACACCCAACTGCTGAGCCATACTGGGTGGGCTCTTGCTGCTTTTAAGAGTCTGTCTCTATTTGTCTTCAATCCCCGCTGGTTTTTACAGCCTGAAGTTATGGGGACTTACCTTCCTTGTAATGAAACTTTGGGCAGGGGGAATGGTGTGGGGCTGGGATCCCTTGCGCCATGGGGGTGGGGGTGGGGGTGAGGGTGGGAGGGAACTTCTGCCGTGGAGATAGCTGTCCCAGTTTTTATCTGTTACACATGGGTGTGGGACCAGCCAATTCTGAGTCTCTGCCTTTCCATCCAGTCTCTCTGTGGCTTCTTCTTTAATTCCCTAGTTGTATGACTTCCATTCAGCCTGATTTCAGGTAGTTCTGAATGATGGTTGCTCTGTAGTTTAATTGTAATTTTGATATGCTTGTGGGAGGAGGCGAGTACTGCATTTACCTACACCACTATCTTGACAGGTTGTCAAAGCTTAATCTCTGAAATAGTTTTAAAATATTGAGTTTACCCTTTAAAAAAAAAAAGTGAATCAGATTTCCTCACATTGAGTTTGCATGTTGGTGCAAAACTTACAATTAGTAACTTTAGTTAATGAAATGACTTATTCATTGTCATCTATCAGGGTGGGATTCATTGGGAATAATAGCACAGTGGGTACTTCAGGATTCTAATAGGTCACCAGTGTAAAATGGCAGTGTAAGCCCAGCTGGTGTGGTTTAGTTGGTTGAATGCCCTCCCATGCACCAGGGGGTCACTGGTTTGATTCTCGGGCAGGGCTCATGCCTGGGATTCGGGCTCGATCCCCAGTATGGATTGTGTATGAGGCAGCGGATGGATGTTTCTTTCTCCCTCTCTCCCTCTCTCCCTTTCCCTCTCTCCCTCTCTCCCTCTCTCCCTTTCTCCTTCTCTCCCTCTCCCCCTCTCCTTTCATCTGTCTGAAATCAATAAAAACAGTAAAAAAATTGACTTACCTAAGAAATGAAGATGCTAGCGCTTGAGATTCAGTTGTTAGGAAGTCGATATTTAAATTTGTCTTGGCAGGGAGGGCTTGAGCAGATGAAATAAGGATAGTGATGAACAATTCAAGGGCCTGGGTTTGGTTAGAGGAGTACCTTAATATATATTTTTTCCTTTTAATCTTCACCTGGGTATATGCTTATTGGTTATATTTATTTTTTTAAAATGTGTCTTTATTGAGTTTATTTTAAATATATATATATTTGTATTGATTTCAGCGAGGAAGGGAGAGGGAGAGATAGAAATATCAGTGATGAGAGAGAATCATTGATTGGCTGCCTCCTGTATGCCCCACACTGGGAATTGAGCACACAACCTGGGTATGTTCCCCGACCGGTAATCAAACTGTGACCTGGTTCATAGGTTGATGCTCAACCACTGAGCCATGCAGGTTGGGCGTCTTTATGGATTTTAGAGAGAGAGAGAGAGAGAGAGAGAGAGAGAGGAAGTGGGGGAGAGAGAGAGAAATAACATTGAGCCCTAGCTGGTTTGGCTCAGTGGATAGAACCTTGGCCTGTGGACTGAAGGCTCCTGGCCCTGGTTGGGGGCATGTGGAAGGCAACCAATCAATGTGTCTCTCACATCGGTGTTTCTCTCTGTCTCTCCCTCTCCCTTTCCACTCTTTCTAAAAAATTAATGGAAAAAATATCCTTGAGTGAGGATTAAAAAAAGAAAAAGAAAAAGAAAAAGAAAAGAAATAACATTGATCGGCTGCCTCCTGTATACACTCCAACTGGGAACCAAACTGCAACCTGGGCCTGTGCCCGGATTGGGAATCCAACCAGTGATCTTCTGGTGCGTGGGATGACACTCAACCAATGAGCTACACTGGCTAGGGCTGCTAGTGATTATAGAGAGAGAGGAAGGGAGGGAGAGAGAAAAAACATTGATGTGAGAGAGAAACATCCATTGGCTGCCTCCCATAAGTGCCCAACCAAGTAATCAAACCACAAACTAGGTATCATGCCCTGACCAGGAATTGAACCCATAACCTTTTTTTTAAACATATATATTTTAATTGATTTTAGAGAGGAAGGGAGGGAAGGAGGGAGGGAGGGAGGGAGAGAGAGAGAGAGAGGGAGAGAGAGAGAGAGAGAGAGAGAGAGAGAGAGAGAGAGAGAGAGAAAGAGAGAAAAAGAGAAAGAAAGAAACATCAGTGATGAAAGAGAATCATTGATTGGCTGCCCCCTGCAAGCCCCACAATCCGGGCATGTGCCCTGACTGGGTATCGAACTGTGACCTCCTGGTTCATAGGTCGACGCTCAACCACTGAGCCATGCCTGCTGGGCTTAATCATTTATTTATTAATTATTTAAGTGAAATGAAGTTGTTAATAAAGTTTTAAATTCTGATTCTGCTAAAATTTCCATATCCTCCAGAGTCTAACTCATTTAGTGAAAAATCTTAACCTTCTAATTGGCCACTTGCAGCCTTTTGGCTTTAGGTTATTGATAATAAAGTGTGGCCTACTTTGTTACTGCTCCATAGCTTTGAAGATGGCCTTTTGGAAGGCAGATGTCAGTCTTTGTGTCTCCCGCCAAGTGTCACCAGGTGCTTGCATCACTTAGATTTTGGGAGCCTGCTTTCCGATAGGGCTGTGACCTTGGCTATGCTGCTTCATGCCTGTGAGCAGACATCTTGTTTTCTGCTTGGGTGTGGGCACCTTGCTCCAGCTGCCGCAGTGGTTTGTAGGTAGAGTGTATTTGGGTCTGTGGGAGCAGGAGTCTGTCTTATCAGTCCATTCCTATTTGTTGTCTCCAGATACGTTCTGTAAAGCATGCACAGATACTACACATCCTTGAGTGCTTTTATGATTTGTTTAATATGGATGGGATGCCTTATTAAATGGAGTTTTTATTTCTGTTTGGCTTGTTAAAAAGTCTGAAAACATTTTATTTTATTACAGATAGGTGAGCTTCAGCTTTGCAAACTTGATGAACTAGATTGCTTAATAAAAGGAATTTTATACATTGATTCAGTTGGATTCAATGGACGGTCACAGTGCTATTACTTTGAAAACCCTGCTGATTCTGAAAAATGTCAGAAGTTACCGTTTGATTTGAAAAATCCATACCCTCTGCTTCTGGTGAACATTGGCTCTGGGGTTAGCATCTTAGCAGTATATTCCAAAGATAATTACAAGCGCGTCACTGGTACCAGGTAGGTCTTTTATATTCTTGATATCATATGGTTTAACACTGAGTTTTTAGGTATTGCATGTAAGTATACCTTTAAGAATCTGTTTAAAATTATGTAAAAAATAAAACTTTCTCTGGGATTATGCAAACAAATGTTATTTCTGTTTGAAATTTCTGATTTCATGACCTACTTTTCTTTAATCTGTATTGCTCCACGTTTCTTAGAATGTCTCATCAGCAGACTCATTAAGCCCATAGTCCCTGCCCTCAGACAGTGTACGATGTGCATATACCATAAAGCAAGCAAAGCTCAGTGGAGTGTATAAGGAGAAGGCAAGGCAAGGTCCTAGATTTTGTACAAGCGTATAAACACATGTGCCCAGGTGCGCGGCCCGAGGATGATGTGAAATTTAGAAGTTGAGATATTGAGCAATAGAAAAATGATTGGGGGAGGGTGGTCTGAAAGGGAGAATTAGGTGGCAGATGAGAAAGGAATGCACTTTAAGGATCAGAGATCATTGAAGAAAAACTAGGAGGTGGGAATGGGGTAAACAAGTTTTTTAACTGTTGTGAGTTAAGGAGTGAAAGAAATAATTTTTGGGGGGAAAACAAATTCATGGAAGAGTTCTTGTTGGGTAGGGGGCTGATGAGCCAGGTGACAAGATGCTTGAATGAGAAGGGAAAAAAAAGATGCTTGAATGAGGATGGCTTAGGGTAGGGGTGGGCAAACTTTTTGACTCGAGGGCCACAATGGGTTCTTAAACTGGACCGGAGGGCCGGAACAAAAGCATGGATGGAGTGTTTGTGTGAACTAATAATACATGTTAACACTGCTGCTGGTGAAGGAGTGGAGGGGAGAGCAAGAGAACCCTCCGCTCTTTCGGCTCCGCCGAACGGGCCGGCTAGAACAGCCGAACGGGCCGTAGTTTGCCCACGGCTGGCTTAGGGCATGCACTTGGAGAGAGAAAGGGAGGAGGCCCCAACGTGGTCTTAGGTGTGAGGGGCTGGTACTACATACTTGAGGTTTCTCGAACTCAGCAGATGCCCAGACTGAACTGGAGACATGGGTGGAGAGGTGGGCCCTGTATTTTGCCATGTTGCTTGTTGGTGCACATGAATGCATACCTTCAAGGTGTCTATTAGGGACCTGTTTTTATCTTTTTACAGACTTCTCACTGGTGGCTTCTGCACGATTGGGTTGAGGCAAGAGTAGATTGACATGTGAATATGGTTTTATGGTTCATAAATATTACCTTCCTATTGTAAAAAATGTTATAACCATATTTGTTTTCAATCACAGTCTTGGAGGAGGAACTTTTTTTGGTCTCTGCTGTCTGCTTACTGGCTGTACCACTTTTGAAGAAGCTCTTGAAATGGCATCTCGTGGAGATAGCACCAAAGTGGATAAACTAGTCCGGGACATTTATGGAGGGGACTATGAGAGGTTTGGACTGCCAGGCTGGGCTGTGGCTTCAAGGTAAGGGGACATGTGTTCTCTAAGAGATGCAGAAATAAAATACTAAATATTGGGTTGCCCTTGCCAGTGTGGCTCAGTTGGTTGGAGCGTCATCTGTACACCAAAAGGCAGGTTTGATCCTTGCTAGGGCACATATCCAGATTGCAGGTTCCATCCCTGGTCAGGGCACACGCGGGAGTCAACCCATTGATGTTTCTCACATTGATGTTTTTTTCTCTCTCTCTCTCTCAAAATTTTAAAAAAATTGGGTATATCTTTTTCCTTTTAAGCAGCTTTACATATTATAAAGTCAACTGTTAAATGTGCCCAATTTATTGGTTTCTGGTATATTTACAGAATTGCGCAGTAATCACCACAATCCAATTTCAGAACATTTTTATCATCCCAGAAAAAAACCTGTATTCATTAGCTGTCACTCCACATTCCCTACCCTACAGTCCCTCGTAAACACTAATCTATTTTCTGTCTCTATAGATTTGCCTGTTCTGGACACTTCATATAAATGATATCATACAATATGTGATTTTTGTGACTGACTTATTTAGTTTAATGTTTTCAAGATTCATCCATGTTGTAGCATGAATCAGTATTTTGTTTTTATTGATGGATAATATTTCATTGTATGGATATATAACACTTTATTTATCCATATATCAGTTGATAAACATTTGGGTTATTTAAACTTTTTGGTTATGAATAATGCTGCTAGGAACATTCATGTACAAGTCTATGTGGACATATTGTTTTGCATTCTCTTGGGAATATACCTAGGACTGGAATTGCTGGATCATGTGGTAACTCTTATGTTTAATCTTTTGAGGAACTGCCAGACAGTTTTCCACAGTGGCTGCACCATTTTACAACCCCACCTGTAATATATAAGGATTTAAATTTATCCACATCCTTGCTGACACTTCTTAGTGTCTTTTTGGCTTAAACTGCCTTAAAGATGTCAAGTGATCTCTCCTGGTTTTGATTTGTATTTCCCTAAGGGTGACTAAGGATGTTGAACATCTATCTATGTACTTATTGACTATTTGTCTACCTTTGGAGAAATGTCTGTTCAAGTCTTTAGCTCATTTTGTAGTTGAATTATTTGTCTTTTATTATTGAGTTGTAAGAATTCTTAATATGTTCTAGAAACAAGTACTTTATCAAATACAATTTTGTATTTGCACATTTGTCATTTGCAAATATATTTTCCCATTCTGTTAGTTGTCTTCACTTCCTTGATGGTGTCCTTTACAGCATAGATGTTTTAAATTTAAATAGATAAAAAGAAGTACATCTTATCTATGTTCTCTTTCCTTGCTTTTATTTATTTATTTATTTATTTATTTAATATATTTTTATTGATTTCAGAGAGGAAGGGAGAGGGAGATAGAGATAGAAACATCAATGATGAGAGAGGATCATGGATCAGCTGCCTCCTGCACACCCCCTACTGGGGATTGAACCTGCAACCCAGGCATGTGCCCTTGTCAGAATCGAACCTGGGACCCTTTGGTCCCAGGCCAACGCTCTATCCACTGATCCAAACCAGCCAGGGCTCCTTGCTTTTATTTTTGGTGTTACATATAATAAATTATTGCCTAACCTTAGAATATGAAGATTTATTACTTTTGTATTTTCTTTTAAAAGTTTTATAGGGTTTAAAAATATATATATATATATATATATTTTAAAAATATATTTTTTATTGATTTCAGAGAGGAAGGGAGAGAGAAACATCAATGATGAGAGAGAATCATTGATTGGCTGTCTCCTGCATGTCCCCGCTGCGGGGGATCAAGCCCGCAACCCGGGCATGCGCCCCTGGCTGGAATCGAACCCGGGACCCTTCAGTCCGCAGGCTATCACTCTATCCACTGAGCCAAACCGGCCAGGGCTAAAAAAAATACATTTTTATTGATTTCATAGAGGAAGGGAGAGGGAGAGAGAGATAGAAATATCAATGATGAGAGAGAGTCATGAATCAGCTGCCTCCTGCACGCCTCACACTGGGGATCGAGCCCTCAACCTGGGCATGTGCTCTGACCAGGATTCAAACTGTGACCTCCTGGTTCATAGGTCAACACTCAACCACTGAGTCACGCTGGCTGGATGAGTTTTATAGTTTTAACCCTTATATTAGGTCTATGATCCATTTTGAGTTACTTTTTGTGTATGGTGTGAGGTAGTGGTCCAAATTCATTCCTTTGTGTATGGATGTACAGTTGTCCCAGCACTATTTGTTGAATAGATCATTCTTTCCCTATTGACTTCTCTTGGTCCCTTTGTTGAAAATAGTTGTTCATAAATGTATAATTTATTTCTGAACTCAGTTCTGTTCCATTGATGTTTATCATTATGCCTTGATTACTGCAGCTTTGTATTACATTTTAAAATTGGGAAGTGTGAGTCCTGCAATTTTTTTTTCCAAGATTGTTTTGGCTCGTCTGGGTCCCTTAACTTTCTGTCTAAATTTTAGGATCAGCTTGTCAATATCTGCAAAAAAGGGCAGCTAGGATTTTGATAGGGATTGTGTTGAATCTGTAGATCAATTTGGAGACTATTGCAGCTTGACTATAGTCTTCTGATTCAAGAAGATGGCATGTCTTTCTGCTTAGTTAGGTCTTTTCTTTCACCATTGTTTTTGTAGTTTTCAGTGTAGAAGTGTTATACTTTTGTTAAATATATCTCTAAGTATTTTGTTCTCTTTGATGCTATTGTAAGTTGAATTGTTTTCTTAATTTTATATTTTGATTGTTTGGAAATAAAATTTTTGTGTGCGCATTGGGGCACATGGTTTTTAATAATAGAAAAGGCAGTCATACACATGCTTGTTTACTAATTTTAGGTACTTTGTAAATGCTGTAGATTTCATTTTCTGTGTTTGCAGCATTTGCTTATTGGTAATTACTTCATTTTCTGTTTGGTTGGGTTTGTTTTCTGGTCACAGTTATTAATGTAGCAGTTCTGCAGGTCGGGTGCTTTGAAGCTCTTAATCTTCTAAAGCAGTGGTTCTCAACCTTCCTAATGCCGCGACCCTTTAATGCAGTTCCTCATGTTGTGGTGACCCCCAACCATAAAGTTATTTTCGTTGCTACTTCATAACTGTAATTTTGCTACTGTTATGAATCATAATGTAAATATCTGATATGCAGGATGTATTTTCATTGTTACAAATTGAACATAATTAAAGCATAGTGATTAATCACAAAAACAATATGTAATTATATATGTGTTTTCCGATGGTCTTAGGCGACCCCTGTGAAAGGGTCGCTCAGCCCCCAAAGAGGTCACGACCCACAGGTTGAGAACCGCTGTTCTAGAGAAATCTGAAACTGTTCGATTACTCTGGGACTGGTTGGCTATAGTTTGCTTTGTTAAGATAAAGCAGTTTACCAGATTTGAATGTGACCCTTTAACTGAATGGAACAGCTGGGCAGTTGGGAGGAATTGATTGCTAATAGAGGTATCTTTCTGGAACTTTCCCTGGTTGCAGAAGGAGCAATGGTGCATTACAGTGCATCTGATGAGATCTAACAGTATGTGCATATCTGGTATCAAAGCTCAATATATTTCAGTGGAAACCACAAGGAAAGCCATTTGCTCATTCAGAATGCTTGAGGGTTCTCTTTGAAGTGGTATTTCTCTTTGAGCAGATGCTCCTTTTTTTTTTTTTAATGAAAAGTTTGAAGTTTTGAGTAACATTGCTCTAAAAGTCACTTTTATCTTAGTAAAGTAACATTCGAGTTCTGTTGGGCTGTGTTGCCTTTGGTTTATCAAAGGGATTTTTTTCTCCCCATCACAGCTTTGGAAACATGATGAGCAAGGAGAAGCGAGAGGCTGTCAGTAAAGAGGACCTCGCCAGAGCAACTTTGATCACCATCACCAACAACATTGGCTCGATAGCAAGAATGTGTGCCCTTAATGAAGTAAGGGGACGTGCATTTCTGTAGTTGCTCTGACAACATCCTAAGTGGGCCCCACCATGTATACAACATCTGTTTTGCCCAAATGGGTCTAATTGTAGTCATATGTAGTGGAGTTAGTTTCATTGGAGAAGTTAAAACTCTTCACATGTAGATTAATCTTAATTGACTTTTTCCCCCCCTTACTGAAAATAAACACTGCTACTATCTAGAAGGCAGGAAGGTGGCCAGTATGCCAGATGGTGGGGGGACTACTATTGGGTGGTGATGATGGCTAGTGATGCTGAATCTAGTCTCCATGCTCATTGTGGAGCTCTAGAATTCTGGAAGGAATCCAGAGGAAGTCATTGAAGCTGGGAGAAGATTGAGCAGGCCAAGCGCTGCCCACCCTGCTCCCCCTCCACCGCAGCAGAGCTGTCTTTGTGCTTTCAGCTTCTTTACAGTGCTGCCTTGTAGCATTCAGGTCAAGCAGCATTGTACAGGGCTATGAAAGAACCAAGAATGGCCTTCCCTTGGGGATCCAGTTGGTGCAGTTTCATAGCTTGTCCCTATTTATATATTTTTGTTTAAAATTATTCTTTTAAACAGATAAGATAGACATGTGGCTTTAAAAAGGAAATCTTAAAAGGTACAAAAGAATTGTTTCATTTTAAATTAAAAGTCTGTATCAGCAAGTAATTAAAAAAAATTCTTCATTTGACTATGTTAACACTATTTTCTTTATTGCATGTTCCCTTTCCTGTGCTTATGTATTTAAGATTTTAGTTGGTGTACATTTTCTATTTTTTACATAAATATAAATTTCATGGCTGTATAATTTGATTCCTTTTTATAACCATTGGCATTTGGTTGCTTGCCAATGACAGCTCTGTGGTAAAGCATTGTAAACGTGAAACTTTTCCTTGGTGAATTTTATTCTTGATAAGGGACTTAATCAGGAGTGAGGTTTTTCATCTAAAGACTATGACCGTGTTATGAATCTTGATAGGTATTGCCAAGGTGTTTTATTTGCGCTAGGGCTATACCAATTTAGATCATTTTCGGCAATAAATAAAAGGGTCAGTTTTACCACAACTTGACTAATACTGGGGGTAGAATTTCAGTTAGTTGTTTTGCTAATTTATAGGTCTAAATTTTTTACTTTTTATCACTGGTGAGGTTGAATTTCTTTTCCGTTATATTTATTGTATAATTTTGCCTATTTGGGTCATTTCCCTTCTTTGAATTGGGTCTTTTTCTTTTACTTATCTGTATAAAACCTTAATAGTAGTTATTGTTTGTCATATTTAATACACACGTTTTTCCTATCTGTTTTCTCCTGTGATATTTTCTGTCATGCTTTCAAGTGGGTCCAGAGTTGTGTGGGCATCAAATTAAGTAGTCCTGGATCAATTGGATTAAATATAAATACTTTTTTAAAATCAGAAGTCAATTTGCTTCTAAAAACTATATGCACATGGTCTCTGTTTGGAGTAGATTTTATGAGAGAACTGAAATTAAGATGAAAACTAATTGCCTTCTTTTGATGTGCTCAGAATATTAACCAGGTGGTATTTGTTGGAAATTTCTTGAGAATTAATACGATCGCCATGCGGCTTTTGGCATATGCTTTGGATTACTGGTCCAAGGGACAGTTGAAAGCACTTTTTTCGGAACACGAGGTAAGCAGACTTATTTCCTGCAGTATGTTACAGGGCATGCGGTTCACATTGTGCTGGAATTTGAAGTAGAGGTGAAATAGTACTTACATATTTTTGTAATTATATGATATTGGGTTTAACTTTGATTGTAATGTTTAAAAGCTCTTTCTTACCCAATTCAGTGCAAGGTAGAGTTTTGGTTAATCTCATTGTGAGCTTCAGCAATATTAAAGAAGTCTTCAAAACAACAACAACATATATTATTGATTTCAGAGACAAAGGGAGAGGGAGAAAGAGATAGAAACATCAATGATGAGAGAATCATTGGTCGGCTGCCTCCTGCATGCCCCCCACCGGCGATCGAGCTGGCAAACCGGGCGTGTCCCTTGACTGGAATTGAATGTTGGGACCCTTCGGTTTGCAGGCTGATGCTCTATCCACTGAGCCAAACCAGCTAGGGCAAGAAAGAAGTCTTAACATTCAACCATATTCTGAGCCATCATATTTTTCCCATTGTACTTTATAAATGCACTTACTCTGGGTTCTGCTCTTTTCCATTTTTTGATGTCAGTTTTTATGTATTGATATTTTCACATGCCATTTATTTAAGATGTCTGTTCTGAAAAATCAGTAAAAAACATTCCAGGACTAGAACCACAATATCATAAAAACTTAATATGTAGACAGGCTAGAAATGACACAATAGAAAAGAATCATTGAGTTGCTCAACCTGATGTCTTCTTTTGGAAAATGCCTTTTTGTTTCTTCAGTTTTGGGAAAAAATAGAACCAGAACTATGGAAGGGGCTCCCTCTTTCCTCCCCTTGGTTGTGGGGCAGTTGAACGATTTTAAGTGTTGTTGGATTTTAGATAGTGGTGTTATCATGAACATCTTTCAAAATTATATGTGCACTTTTAACAGTTTATATGAATCAACAGAAATCAAAGTAGGATGTAAAGTGCTATAGATTGCTTTTCCTTTAAACTAGCTTTAAATTTGTCATATATATATATATATATATATATATATATTTTATTGATTTTATACAGAGAAGAAGGGAGATAGTTAGAAACATCGATGAGAGAGAAACATCGATCAGCTGCCTCCTCCACATCTCCTACTGGGGATGTGCCCGCAAACCAAGGTACATGCCCTTGACCGGAATCGAACCTGGGACCTTTCAGTCTGCAGGCCAACACTCTATCCACTGAGCCAAACCACTCAGGACTAAATTTGTCTTTTAAGTTGATTAAGTTCATAGTTAAAACCCAAAGTGCCCAACTTCCCCATATCAAAAGCTTAAAGTTCAAGACATCTAACTTATTACTTCTAATGTTATATTAGTAAATCAGTACTGAGTTATTGTTTTTTTATACCTTTACATCTGCTTTTTGTGAACTTTTACTTGTTTTGTTTTGCTTCATATTAGAATAAAAAAGTCATGTGTAATAGAACTTTTCTCCTGAATTTCTACCTCTTTTTGAACCTTTTCCTAGGTAGATCCTGGAGATTAATTTCTTATTTATTTTTTATGTTTTTAATCCTCACCCAAGGGTACGTTTATTATTGATTTTAGAGAGAGAGGAAAAGAGAGAGAAAAAGAGTATCAATGTGAGAGAAACATCTGTTGGTCGCTTCCTGTATGTGCCCTGACTGGGGATTGAACTTGTAACCTTTTTGGTGTATGGGATGATGCTCCAACCAACTGAGCCACCTGGCCAAGGAGATTAATTTCTTAGAGTAACTTTGTAAAATTTTTTAAACTTATATCTTCATATCACAGTTATAATATGAACCCTTTATGAAATTTTGATTTTTATATTGTCATTTTTATTGCCTGCTGATTTAATTTTCCTCTCTGGTTAGTATTGCTGGTCCATTCGTCTCTGTTTTCTATTTGCATTCAGGCTTCTGACTCTCATGTTGATTTCTGTACATATGGAACTTAGATTATTTTAGGCTCTCTGAAGTCTTGAAATACAATTGACCCTTGAACAATATGAGTTTAAACTGTGCAGGTCCATGCATGCGTGCATCTTTTTTCAGTAAATACAGTGGCCCTTTGTACCCATCAGTTTCGTATTCGTGGATTTAACGAATTGTGAATCAAAAACAGTATTTTTAAATTCCCAAACATGGATCAAAAATATTGGGCTCCGCAAAATGGGTGCTCAGAACAGGGTGTCAGGAATTAAGGGCAGTGTTGGCTTTAACATAATCATATTTATGGCAATTTAAATAATTCTAAGGAGAGTTGTTCTTTTTTGTGTATTTTTCTTTCAGGGTTATTTTGGAGCCGTTGGAGCACTCCTTGAGCTGTTGAAGATCCCCTGATCATTACCTGGGGAAGGGGTTCCTGGAACCTTCCACAATGGGATCTGTGAACTTCTTTTTTAAGAGACTGACTTAATTTTATGATTGTGTATTACCTGAATCAAAGCAAGAAAGGACAAATGGATTTTTCTAAGTCATCAAGACAAACCCTTAAAAATTCAGCCTAAACTAGTAACCAGTAAGGAATGACATATATGTATATGTGTATATATATAAAGTGGACCATGTCCATGGCAGTGAGGATTGGCTATAATACCTGCTATATATTTTTGAAACTCAGTGTCACTCACTGGAGCCACTTCAGGGGAGATATTCTGTGTTCAGCATACTGTGTTTTGGGATCCTGTTGAACTTGCTAAATGTAAGGAAAGCTACTATGTGTTATATAATCTAATCACAGTTTTGACAGTATGGCCTTGGAGATCATCTCCTGTGCATTAACTCCGGTGAGCATTTAGCCTTTGTGTGAACATATTGAAAATGTTTTATTTCAAGGTTCTGCAAACTTAATTGGGCAGGTTAGTTCAATACCTGTAACTTGGACAATTCAGCAACTTTTAGAAGGACAATTGCAGGTTACTTTATACCATAAATCCTAGGGAGGTCTCTCTGGAAAGACAGGATTTCCTCCGTGAACGGAATTACCTTGAGTATTGGGCTGACGGAAGTAAGCTACTACAAAAGACATAATCTGGAAAACTAAAACCAGATAAAAGGGACTGCTTTTTTTTTCTTTCCCAGGGAACTGGGGAGAGAATCTGGTTACACTTTTAGGCAAGTAGAAATCAAGGAATTGAGGTGTCCATTAACTTATGGGGAGCAGGGCGGGGTTCTTCCCACCTTTCTCACCCACTCCTGGTCTTGGCACTTAGCAGCCCCCAGGCGCAGCCCTGATTTCTCTGGTAGGCTGGCCCAAAAGGCAGCTTGAGAGACAGGTTTTGAGCTGAGTATTAATATAGATTGACTTTGGACCTTTTCTTTCTGCTGTGCAGAATAATTTTTAAAAACCTTTCCTTTAGAGATTGAGCTATGTTTGTGTCTTATTTTGTGTCTTATTTGGTGCCTGCATCGCTGTTGAAGGCAATGAAGGTTTGTAGAAAGTGGTTTTTGAACTAGAAAGAAGCTCCAAGGCTCTGGGGCCGCCTTGCGCTTTCGCCCCTGTGGTCTCAGGCCAGGAGGCTGGCCTGGGAGGGTTCTGGGAAAAAGGAGGGGTGCAGAGGGCGGGGCTGGGTCGTTCAGGTAGGAAGTGCTTGGGCTGGTGCTCCTCCCTGGTCGGCTGGGATCCTTAGGCCGCCTGTATTGGCCGCGTGGGGGCAGCAGAGGCCCGTGCCCATGTTTGTGAGGGCATGGTCATTTCTCCGATGGTGGCCACTTTTGCGCACGGTTCTGGCACCCTTGGGTTGAGGGTGCTGCTCCCTGATGCAGGCCGCAGAGCTGGAGGGACACTGCGGGAGGTGGAAATTGTAGCCCTTGGGTGGCATTTGGGTCTCCCTGCTGCTGCCCCTTCCTGGCCTCAGCCTGAGCCCCCACCCCTCACCCCCTATCCTGTCCTTTGTTCTCTGTCACCTGCAGATATTCACTTGGTGGCCCCACCTTTCCCTCACAGCCACCACCGACAGAGCTAGTACTCTTTCGCTGGAACATAGTCGTGTTTCTCAAGCCCCTCTTGTCCGAGCCCGGCTCTGCTTACTTGGGCGGAGAAGGTAGAGAAGGGGAGGGAGCATGAGCCATTTCTAGTGGAGACCCAGGCCCCACCCCACCTCCTGTGTTGTGGGTTCCGCCTGTTTTAGAGGCTGTGCCAGTGCTTTACATGGGTTGTTTCATGCAGCTGTTGTGATCTCCACGACTCAGCAAACCCGCCTGAGCGCACACAGGCAGAGTCCCCTCTCCTTTCTGCATTTGCCTTCTACCTCCGAGGGCCCAGTTGCCACTCACTTTGTGGGTGGTTCTTAGCTCACACTGTCACTCCATGAGAGGGTCTTGATAGGTCCACTGAGTCTCCTTACTAAATCTAACAGACATTTATGTCCTCGCTTTCCTCAGTTCTAACACAGTGGATCTCTTGCTTTTCCTTCTGCCTTCCAGACCCCTTTGTCTCTGCCAGCTCCAGGCACAGTCCTGATTCCCCTAAGCAGTCATCAGCACTCACCTTGACTCTGACTTCCAAGGTACTATGCCCAGCACCTCCTCTGAGCTCCAGTCCTAAGGCACTGACTGCCTTCCCTTATTTCTACTTGTGTATCTCCAAGGCCATCCCTACACAGAAGTATCCACATCCTTTCCCCTGCACTCCCCCTCATCTTCTTCACTCCCTCCAGCTTGAGATGCACGTAAACTCAATCTCCACTCACCATTGCCACACCCTAGTTTAAACCACTGCCATCTTATCTCAGCAGTTGTCCTTTGCAATCTGCCCTCCAGATGGTAGCCTGAGGGCCCTACCCCACGCTCCCCACTAGAGGCCCACACGAAAATGGGAGCAGTAGATGGCCCAGTGGGGACAGGTGGATGGTTAGAAGGTTGAGTATTGGGATGTGATGATAGGATATGGGGGAGGAAGTTTCTATAAGGGCATAAGCTTATTGGGGAGGCTTGGTTTTGAGCTGTAATTGATACCAAATAGCAACTGGATATTTGGGTTGTAGATAACATACTTAAGAATGATGGTGTATGTAGATGGGCAGAGAAGGGAAAGGCTGCGAAGAAAACTGAAGCGAGGTCAGAGGGGGCTGCTAGGGGTCTATTGCTCAGGAGACTGGAGAAGAGCCCTCCAGACACCTGCATTGAGGTTTAAGAGGAGGCCCAGAGATGGCCTCGAGGGGAACAGTTTCCCCAAAGCTATGGGGCAGAAGCCGATCGATCTGCGGAAGTCCTAGCGAGGGTTGGTGAGGAGAAATAGCAGCTACCACAGGGTGACTTTGGACCAAGAGATGTTTTTTTCCTTCCTAATAGAAGTTTATTTGCAGGTCTGGGGTGTAGTGAGAGGTGTGAGGAATGGCCTCGTTCTGACACTTTACTCCCCTGAGACTAGTGCCTGTATTTTGGAAACTGCCTGTGTCCAGTCGCATCTGCAGAGCTGAGGCCAGTGGCAGGTCAGGCCTTGGCTCCTTTGCTTTCTCCCTCCCTGTGGCCTAGTGCTTTACTCGTCACCTCTGACCTGCACTCCACACGTGGGGGGACAGGCCAGGAGCTCCTTCATCACAGTCACCTGTTGCTGTGTCCTACTCACCTTGACTTTCCCACTCTTGCTACACAAGCTTACGTGGGGCGTGAGTGTCCACCAGTGGGTACATGATTAACATTAAGTAGTTTTCAAAATCTGCTCTTTATTTACATTTAAGTCAATTACATGCATGTTTTATTTTTTTAAACAAGAGTAATTAGCAAAAAATGCATTAAAACTTTAAAATAGCAATTAAATATACAAAAATATAGCTTACAAAAAACTGCGAATGTTTAAAAATATTCTGCTGCAGAATTCTTAGTGTACAAACACGTCTATGAAACCTGAGGCTCAGCATTTCATAAACCTTTTATTGAGGGAGTTACATTATGTCTAGTGAACGAACCCCAGTGGGCTAGACTACATGGCTGAACTACCTTCCTTCCTGGCAGTGATCTGTTACCAGAGACAATGATCAGGAACACTATCTGGGAAGACGGTGTCACCAGGAGGGACTTCAACACTGGTCCCATCTGCCTCCTTTTTCTCTCGGAACCTGGGAGGGAAGGAGCAGACAGGGACGGTGTGCAGCTGGCCCAAGGTGCTGATCCACCAGGCTTGTACTGGCACAGGAGCTACATCAAAGTACAGACAAGTCCCTTAATATTGGCAGGCTCCCTTTCTGAGTACATGCCCCTAGAGCAGGCAGGATGTTCTCCTTGTCCCTGTAGCCACAGAAGTGAGCCCTGGATTGGTAAGCAAAGAATGCTGTTTGGTCTAAAACGGAGAAAACAATTAGCATCTTGGAACAAGTGGGCTCTAAAACAACTGGAAAACTGACCAACCCTTTCTATGTTCCTCTTGATACTCTCAAATGGAAGCACATTAATCTTATCTACTAAAGAACCATGACCCAGCATATTCTAGTTATCAACTGCAAATTTCACCTAAATTTATACACTGTTAATTTAGACATGTCCTTTACTCAAGTTCTTAACAGCTAACGTGAAAGACTAACCCAGGGCCAGAGATTCATCACATGACAGAAGGGTGGAGGTTCCCTGCAATTCCTTTTCAAGTTTCGGGTCAGGGGCGCAAAAGCGCTGTGAATCCTGAGGAAACAGGGTGGCAGGACACTGGGAGGTGGGTGAGGACCAAGAGGCACCAGTCCATGACCCCATGGCTACCTAAAGGAAGCTTTAATTTCCATATCCTCTAGGGGCAAAAATGAACTTAAAAATATTTCTTAAAAGGTGGGGAATGTCATTGAGTGAAAAGTGTTGGGCTAGGAAGAAACTAGGGGAAGCATTTTTTAGAGCGGGGAGGGAAAAGGAGCCTGACCCATGTACCCGAACATCTATGACTGACCACCTACTTGTTCAGCAACATCTGAGACAACTGCCTCACAAGAGAAAGGTGCCTCAGCCTTCAGTTGCTGCTGCTGCTTGAACTCCTGCCTCAAAAATGGGTGCTCGCCTAAGAAAGCAAGAGAGTTGTTAAGAGACATCACTGCTGCACTCAGGCTTCCCGTGCAACTAGCCAAGATGGTGTGGGGCAGCTTGTCCAGGTGGCTGCAAAATTGCTGGGCCTGCACTGCTGCTCTTGGCTACAGAGCCTGCTCTTGTGTGTCCTGTCACAGATCAGCAAGTCTGGAAACTGGTTGTGCTCCCGTCATCTGGACGTGTGATAGGAGTCAGGGAGGAACTGCAGTTTCTGATTTGTTTAGAAAACTAGAATTCCAGTGTGCTGCAATCAATAATAAAAAAGCCACTTTCAAAAGGAATGTGATTGTAAAAGGATCATCCCCCATTCTGGGCTCACCTTTTACAGATATTCTGACTTCCGGTACAGCTCTTCCCATATGAATAGGAATGCTCCTGAATGTACTTCAGTATCACATGAGCAAAAGAGAACACCCCCCCCCCCTTCCACCCACACATATATACATACACGTGTGTGCACTTGTATATACATAAATGACCTCTGGGAGGATACATAAGGAGCAAAACTAGATGCTCAAGGGGTGAGAAGCTGGGCTTGCTGGGTCAGGGATACAAGGAAGACTGATTGATGAACCATGGGAAGGGATTACCTATTCAGAGTTAAATTTAAAAAGATATCCACAGTGAGCAACCAATTAGTGAGCACTGTGCAAAGGCAGATGGAGGTGAGGGAAAGAGGAAGGGAGCCAGCAGACCTAGGACAACAGGAGCCCCACATGACCTGCGTGACAAACGTTGCCCATTATCAGCTCCCATGACTCAGATCTGTCACCTGCCAGGCTCTGGACACAGCTAATCCTTGCAAGGGCCAGTAGATAGATACCAGTATAGTCCCTGGGTGATGGATAAGATAACTGACAGAAAGGCACCTGGCTGGTGAGTGACAAAGATGGTTCAAATCAGTCTGATCACTTTCTCTGTCCAGAGCTCTGGGGATGCCTCCCAGTAATTTCTACAGTCATTAAGAATAGCTTAACAGAGTGGGATGAGGCTGTGGAGATGACAGACTTTGGAGTTGGTCTGTGGAAAGGGCCTGAGGTTAGGATCCAAGGGGCTTGGCATTGGGGAAAAGACTCATTTGTCAAGACATGTGAAGAACTGGCTATATGACAATGGTGGGAGGTCCCTGGTATCCCTCAGCCCAGATGCCCTCACCCATGGGCCACCTGTTCCAATCTGGTCATTTCTGTCTTGTCCTGCTCCCTTCCAGGAATAGGCCTAACCAACTCACAGTCTCAAAGTAAATATAACCAAGAACCAAGTCCGGCTGGTTTCGTTTCATTTCTAAAACTAGGTGAACTCCGGGCTGAGTTCTATTCCACTAACCCATGGCACACAAGTAACGTCTAATCTTGGAGCTGCTTAAGATGTGTTAAGTAAAAAAAAAAAAAAATGTTATTAGCCAGTGGCCCAAAAGCAGATCAGAGTCTCCACGTGTCTACAGATTATCAAAAGGTCACCTACTCAGACAAATGTGGACAGCAGCCTCACTGTGAGGTGTGAGCCTGAGCCGAATGTATTGAGGGATCCTTGCCTCATTCTTTAAAGTCCAGATGGAAATTTACCTTTGTCACACAGTGCTGTGGCTAACCGCTGCTAGCCACGTGCAGTACAGGGAAGTGCTGGAGGAGGGCCCAAATGTGGGTGGCAAATGCATTCAGGTTGTGTTGCTAACTGCCAGGTGACAATGGCTGTGCTGCAAAAGGACACCACACCAAGAAAGGGGAGACGACTGAGCAGAGCGGGCACTCAGCACTTCAATGTCCAGCCCCATCGGAGTGGAAATGCTGCATTTTTAAAAGCCTCCCCACATTCACAAGTGTTGAGGTCATATTAGTGGCACCTCCTGGGACAAAGCAGACCCACTATGGTGCCAAGTGGAGAGGGCACAGCCTTCTCAAGCTTTCCTCTAAACTGGCTTTGCACCTCTGGTCCAGTGCATACCAATGACCTCTGCTTTTAGCTGTGACACAGTGGAATGAATTAATGAGCCTCCCTATAAACACAGGGACTTGGTGAAGCTGCCTCCTTGTTATTGTCACAGGGACAGAAAAAGGCTGCAACTGGAAGGCTATAATCCTACAGAACTGAGTGGAAGAAATCTGCAGTATAGAGCACAAGCATTCCTCTGAGGGGAAAAAATTCTCTTCCTTATTCGAAGCCCATAATGACAAGATGACATTTGTCTCAACGCCATTCCAGGGAAAATGATGGGTTGGTGGTCATTAACTAGGCTAGTCCAGAAGCAAGCCTACTTGGTCACTAACAATATTTCACTGTAAACTGGGTGCTTTGCAGCATTCAACTCTATTATGCTACAGAGAACGCAGAAACGGGGTGAAAGTCCAAGTGTACAAATAGTTCTTTTCATGGGTGCCAAACAGGCTAAGGCTTTCATATAAAAATATTCCACACTTTACTTGCCCTGTTTAAGAAACAGTCCAGTTGGCATACCATAGGAATACCATACACTAGGTCACACGGAAACAGCCAATTCTGACCAAGTGGACTTGTAATTTTCCAAACTGGATTCTGCCCAGCACTTTCCTAGGCTAATAGGAATTTTCCTTATCCTTTGACTGTAGCTACCTGAGCCACGGACAGGTTCCCTTTCCCATTCTAAGACGGTAGAGGCTGGATTCCAGAAGAAGTTCTTGGATAAGTGCCATCATCAGAATTGCAAAGCTTCCTCCATTTCTCCATACCATGCAGACAGCATTTCCAGTGAGAAACCGTCCCCCTCACACCTGAGGGAGCAGAGGCAAAGCTGATGACAAGGAACCCATCCCTAGAATGGAAGGAGATTGAGAACGGCTGTGGAAAAGAACTACAAAGTTCTTAGCTAATTTATACAATATTCATGAATCTAAAGGACTCTGAGTCACTTCTAGAAAAGTTGGACAGAAAGAGCCAAAGAGTAACATGCATTTCTCTCCTATAAAGATACTTGCAATAGCAATTAGTTTTCGCAAGTCTGAATACTGAGGCACACACCAGTGAGTGAACAGCCCTGCAGGAGCTTCCTGAAACTATTTACAATTTCAAGTGGGTCCCTGGCTAAAGAATTACAGAGGGATCTTATTTGGGATGTTTTAAGTCGTTAAAAAGTCAATGCCAGCATTTTCTCTGAAGTAGGAAGAGAGAGGGCAAGAAGGGGAAAGAGGGCCAGCATCCTCCTGTCTCAGCAGGGCCAGGAGGACTAGCCATTCTCAGCTGTCTGAGGGCTCCCAGGTGCTCCCTCCCAAGACAGTGAGCCAAGACCAGCAGCTATGCTGGAACCACACTGAATGGGGGAATGTGGACAGCTCTCCGAGGCCCCTGGGGCACACAGGGACAGCAAGGGCTCAGAGGCCCAGGCCCACTGGGGCCCCTGATGGGCAGCTTGGCTGTGCCTCACTGGTGAGGTGGGTGTGGAATAAGAGGAAATGGCTTCTGACCAGGCCTTTCCAAGCGCATCTAATGTTTTTAGCTTAGGTAACTTGATAAGCAGATGTAAAACTGAGGGAGAAGTGATGGTGAGGGGCACTGTAACCAAAGTCCTTGGGTTCCAAGATGATTTTATCAAAGGAATATAAGGTGAAAAGCCTTTGTTGGCACTGTCTCACCAACCAGGCAACCGGTCGTGCTTCGGCTGAGGTAACCACTGGTTTTGCTTGGCTCAGGGGCTGCCGGGAAGGTTTGCTGCTGCTCAGACATGCAGTCTGCATAGAAGCTCATCTGTCCACGGGGCGGGGTGTGGGTGGCTTTAAAGACCTGCCCTCAGTTCCTTTCTCTAGCACTTGTGTTTATCTTCCCTTCTGCTTGACAAAAGTCACCTGACATGGAGAGAAGTGTCTGGATGACAGCATATAATTGAGTTGGCAAGAGACTCTCATGAAGCTCCTTGAACCAAACCTGCAGGCTCATTTAACTTCTCTTCTCTTGGCGTGGGACGTGGGTACTGTCAGCTTTGGTTGTCACATGACCCAGAAGTCTGGGTCTTAGCTTAGCTGGCCCAGGAGTTTTTCATGAGGCAAAGGAAGTGGCAGCTGGTGCCTGGGTAGAACAGCCAACACAGAGCATGTGTGTTCCGCCTGCCTCTGTGAGCGTGGGTCCTGCAACAGTTTGATCCTGTGGTGAGCTATACAATGTTCTCTGCCCCTGGCAGGGGCCCCTGTGGGGGTCCACGGTCCTGCTTACTGTGCAGCTGGGCCAGCTGCAGAACTGGCATGTTGCACAGTGGACACACTTTCCGAACCTCCAGCCACTTAATAAGGCACCTGCAGAACGAGACACCACAGGAGGGAAGACATCAGTCCCCTGCCCACGGCACACCAGCCCGCCCACCCGCCCACACATTCTGCATGTTGAACACATCTGTTGCCCAGGACAGCCAGGTCCTAACGAGCTCCACCCTCCACGGAGAACCCACTTTATCCTCTGGAGGAGCCAGAGCTCCAAGCATGCTACCCCCTCAGTCATCATGGTTTCTTAAAGGAGGAAGTACAGTGAGGGTGGTGCAAAGTAGGAGAAATGACACTTTCTAATAGACATGCAAAATGCATAAAATTGCAAGAGAAGAGGAATATGAATATGTTTGCAAGAAGAGGGAGGAGAGAGCCCGACACTACCATTTACATTCAGACTCATCTATCTTGATTTAAAATAATTACAGTTTTGATTAACGTAAGTTTTTTGGAGTGGAATTTCTCATTAGAGCATTCCATTAAATAATGGTTTTATAACCTGGGCTCCCAGGAGGTGTGGGCTTTCTGGCATTCTGCCCAAAGTCCTGCCGCGGTGCTCATGTTCCACAACCCCAATTCCTCCAGTGCCATGTACACATACCCCGCCCTGTAGGGTGCTTTCTGCACTGTAGACCAATCGTGAAGCCTTCAAGCTTGTCTGGCACTGTTCCAAGCCCACAAGTAGGTTGGTTGATGTGCCTCAAACTCAGGTTCCCTTAAACAGTTCCATGCCAATACTTACTTTCTGTGGAAGGCATGCTTACACGGACAAATCCCCAACTCATCTCGAGGCTTGAAGTCTTCTAGACACACTGCACAGAGCTGAAAGATAAATTCACAGATGAGGAAAAGTGTCTTGCTAAGCACTCTCCCAGGTCACAAAGTAAAGTGCAGGCCCCTGAGGCCCAGCCATTTGAAGGGGTTTACAATGTCCCACAGTTTAAGTGAAAGAAAGGCTGACTGGGCAAGGTCTTCTGAAGAAGAGCCTCCTTGCTCTTCCTGTCACATGTCTTCAAAGATGAAGGGCAGGTGGCAGAAGAAAGAAAGCAAAAGGCAGTTTCCTTTGCTTTAGTGAATCAGAAGGGTCTGACTTAGGTTAGTCCTCACTAGCTAGGCTGGACATGATGGAATCTGCCTGTGGTGTGCCCAGGGGCTGACTTTCTGCAGGGGTGCTCTGCCTGCTCAGCCGCATAGCTTCTGACAGGGACTGCTCATGCCCCGGGGCAGGCCCTGGGGCTCTCCTTTCTCTGGTAACATGCCCTCACTCTGGCACTGTCCTTCTGTCAGTATCTGTCTTTGTCATATAAAATGTTATGCAAGCCTGGCTGGTGTGGCTCAGTGTTTGAGCACTGACCATAAACCAGGAGGTCTCAGTTTGATTCCTGATCAGGGCACATGCCTGGGTTGCAGCCTCAATCCTCAGTAGGGGGAGTGCAGGAGGCAGCTGATAGATGATTCTCATCATTGATGTTTCTATCTCTTTCTCCCTCTCTCTGAAATCAATAAAAACGTATTTTAAAAAACGTATTCAAGAGTCTCTGAATTAAACTGGAGAAAATGTGCAAATGGGGCCAGGACAGCTGACAGGTGGCCAGGCTCCACAGCTTGAACAGGCTTCTCCTTCACACCCAGAAGCTGGGGTTCAGCCACCACTTCTTGAGCACTTACCAGTGCGCAGGGACACCAACTATCACCACTTTTACCCATTTTACAGATGAAACAGAAGCTCAGAGCAAACACCATGTTTCCTGAGGCCAGGCAGTTGGTGAGTGTGGCTGGGCTGGGTCCCAGGTCTCCTGCACTGATGTGCTGTATTCCTTCTCTCTTGCTTCCCTGTCCTGGTTCAACCATGAACACTTCTTGCCCAGACCGATGACATGGCCTCTCTTTCACTTGTTTATAACCTATGACATGTAACCCAGTCTTCTTAGGTTACGTGACAGGACATGTGGCTCTTGGTGCCCCATGGCTGGTGCCATGAATGTTGGCCTTCCAACATTCTTCCCTCAGGGCCTTGTGTATATAGCAGACAGGATCTTCAGGAAGGGGAGAAAGAATAACTATCTTATCAGACTTGGCATTACTGCCAAGACAGTAGGAGAGCAGGGAGGAAGGCAGGACCACTAGCCTTGGCTTGGACACCCACTAGGCTGCGTCATCTCTGCCATTCTGATGCCTCTCCAGCTCTGTTCCTTCATCTATGTAACGTGAGGACACTACCTGTCCACCTCCTTCTTAGGACTGTTACCAACTCAGGCTGGTGGGACCAGAGCTGAGGAGGCAGTACGGCAGTCTACCAATATCAGTGGCTTTTATCCCAAAGCTGCAATGGGAGCACTATTTTCAAGCCCATTTTATTCTGGAGGAAGTCTGAGAACACGCTGTTGGTAAAGATGAGACTCTAGCAGCTCTAGCTTTGGGGTGACCTTTTGGGACCTCAGCTTCCCACCTGTAAAGGGGGAATGATGTTCCCATCTCCTAGGTGTGGAATAGGCCTTACGGCCCTAAACACCCAGCTTCCCTCCCGGCACAGCCTCCGAAACATGGCCGGGACTGCTGACTCCGATCCAGCACGGATCCTACCAAAGGACAAGAACTTGACAAGTCACTCATTTTTATTTGCTTATTTTTCCAGGATCCCTCATTCTAAAACCACAGTCACCTGAAAAAAAAGATCCCACAAGATAAATTCTGACATGTTAAGTGCTAAAGGGACCAAAAGTCAAGGACAATCACAAAGAGAAAAGCCTCGTGTCTGACTTCTTAGGAGCTCCCTGAAGGGTCAAACTAATTTTATAACTAAAAAATATTTTTTTAAATTGAGTTTTTACCGAGAGAAGAAGTAAGAGGGAGAGAGAGAAAGAGAGCGAAACATCAATGTGAGAGAGAGAATCCAGTTGCCTCCTGTATGCACTCTGACTGGACAGGTGCCCTGACTGGGAATCAAAATGATGACCTTTGGGTGTAAGTGATAATGCTCAATCAACTGAGCCACACCGGCCGGGGCCTAATTTTACAACTTTAAAGATCACATTTTGCAAATGAGCTTTACTTTCCAATATGGTGTCAGAGCAACTAGACATCCATAGGCACAGAAGCATGACATGATCCCTAAAGCACAGGCAATCAAAGGGGAAAAAAAACTGACAAATTGGACTTCATCAAATCAAAACTTATTTTGCAAAAGACCCTTTTAGGGTAAAAGATTGGGATAAATATTTGCAGATATTTTATTTTGTAGGCTTTTTATTACTGAGCTGTAAGAGTTATTATATATTCTGAATACTAGACTCTTATCAGACATAAGATTTGCAAATATTTTTTCCCTGTGGGTTTTCTTATCAGAAAACCATAAAAAAAAACAAAAAAAACAGAAGTGGCACATTTTAAAAGTGGTAAGAGAAAAGAACTGTCAACCCAGAGTTCTATATCCAACAAAAACAACCTTCAGGAATGAAGGTAAAATAAAGATATTCTCAGATAAAGGCAAACTAATAGAATTCATAGCCAGCAGATCTGCTCTATGAGAATTGTTAAAGGAAGGTCACTGGACAGAAGAAATATGACAAAAGTAGTAAACTTGGAACACTGGGAATAAAGAGCAACGGAAATGATAATTATCTAGATAAATATAACAGACTATTCTTCCTGTCTTAAATTCTCTAAAATATATCTAGTGGTTAAAAGTAAAAATATTTAACAATGTCTGATGGGATTTTCAATGTATATAGATATGCTATAACAGCTATTGCATAAAGGGGAAAGCATAAAAGGATCTATATGGATATAAGATTTCTACATTCCAATTGAAGTGTGAAAATATTGATTCTTTTTATAATCTCTAAGAAATCACTAAAAAATTATACAAAAAATAGTCAAAATCACAATAAATAAAGAATACTAAAAATGTTCAAGTAACTGAAAAGAAGGTAGGAAAAGGAAAACAAAGGAATAAAGAGAGGAAAAAGTGGAAGACGAATAATAAAATGGTAGACCTAATTCTAAATATATCAACAATTGCATTGAAGGAGAAACCAAGATGGTGGCATAGGTAAACACCGGAGTTTGCTGCCTCGAACAACCACGTCAAAAATACAACTAAAAGACGGAACGGACATCATCCAGAACCACAGGAAGGCTGGCTAAGTGGAAGTTCTACAACTAGGAGGAAAGAGAAAAGCATACCTAGACTCAGAGGAGGCACAGTGCTGAAGTAAAATACTAAGGTGCGGAGGTGCATGCGGAGCGGGCTGGCAGCTGAGGGCGTGGTGGTTGTTTTCAATCGGGAGGGAGTCTCAGGCTCTGAGCTCCAGTTCCGGGCGAGTCTCTAGGGACCCAGACTCATATGGGAGAAGCGGGACTGTCTGGTATCGCTCAGAGCCCTAGGGCAGCTTTCTCTCCAAGGGGCTTGCAGCGATTACTGGGACACTGAGAAGCAGAGCCTCTGAGGGCAAGACTGAAAAGCAGCCATAATTGCTAACCCCGCCCCTGTTGATCCCGTGGGACCCGCCCCGCCCAAGCCCTGAAGGGAGACTTTTACTGGATAGCCTCAGGCAAAGGCTAGATCAGCACCTCCCTAGAGATCCAGGAGCCAGGAAGCCCAGAGGTCAGAGTGGAACCATAATAGACACACTCAGGGGGCAGACTCAGTGAGCACCAAAGCCCCATCGAAGCAAGTCTAGCCCCAGAGGGGTGTCTCCAGCACAGTTCTCCCACTGCAGACACAGCTGATTCTCACAGCCAATTGGCCTGGAGGGCAATTCCTCACAGTGATAACTACAACAATCAAGGCTTAATTACAACAAGTCTGTGCACAAAGCCCACAAGGGGGTGCACCAAGAGTGTCTACCTCAGGTAACTGGGACACTTAGCACAGAAAGGCACTCTTTCGACACAGCGAAGCATAAAAAATGCTGAGATAAAGAAACAGGACACAAATGACAGAAATGGAGGAAAGCAAACTGCTGGATATAGAATTCAAAACCACACTTTTAAGGTCTTTAAAGAACTGTCTAGAAGCCGCCGATAAATTTAATAAGGCCCTCGAAAAGACTGGTGAGACCGCCGATAAATGTAGTGAGATCCTCAAGAAGACTGGTGAAACCCTCGATGTTGTGATAAAGAACCAACTAGAAATTAAGGATACACTGACTGAAATAAAGAATATTATAGAGACACCCAACAGCAGACCAGAGGATCGCAAGAATCAAGTCAAAGATTTGAAATACGAAGAAGTAAAAAACACCCAACCGGAAAAGCAAAATGAAAAAAGAATCCAAAAATACGAAGATAGTGTAAGGAGCCTCTGGGACAGCTTCAAGCGTACCAACATCCGAATTATAGGGGTGCCAGAAGATGAGAGAGAGCAAGATATTGAAAACCTATTTGAAGAAATAATGACAGAAAACTTCCCCTACCTGGTGAAAGAAATAGACTTACAACTCCAGGAAGTGCAGAGAAACCCAAACAAAAGGAATCCAAAGAGGACCACACCAAGACACATCATAATTAAAATGCCAAGAGCAAAAGACAAAGAGAGAATCCTAAAAGCAGCAAGAGAAAGAAACTCAGTTACCTACAAGGCAATACCCATACGACTGTCAGCTGATTTCTCAACAGAAACTTTGCAGGCCAGAAGGGAGTGGCAAGAAATATTCAAAGTGATGAATACCAAGAACCTACAACCAAGACTACTTTATCCAGCAAAGCTATCATTCAGAAGTGAAAGCCAGATAAAGAGCTTCACAGATCAGAAAAAGCTAAAGGAGTTCATCACCACCAAACCAGCATTATATGAAATGCTGAAAGGTATCCTTTAAGAA